GTTGGCTCTCATCATCATCAAATGTTTTAGTTAGTTTCTGCTAAGCTGCAGGGTATATTTAGCATGAAGCTGATCCAACACTTTCTTTCCCAGGGAGAGGGTTAAGATCTGTGTAGGACCCAATGATCTCTAGCCTAGCTAGAAATTAATGATCAGTACACATTATTTGAAACATATAATTTCTACCTCTTGTTCTGTTGTGTTACTTTGTACTTCAGGAGGAATACGTGACGAGGGTACCGTCTTTTTGCTGGGAATCTTGGCATCATTTTGAGGAAGGGGAACTGACCCTGAAAATAAGTGAAAGGGAAAGCATATAATTTTTAAAGAACTTTGTTGATGTATAAATGAAGCATAGTAAACTGCATATAGTAAAAATGTACAATTTTTTTTTGGTTATGACATACATACATATAAACCCATGAAATCATCATCACAATTGAGATAGTAAACATATCCATCACCCTCAAAATTTGCTTGTGCTCTCTAATAGTTTGCCCTTCTCTCTGCTGTCTCACAGGCAACCATTGATCCTGCTGTCATGATAAATTTGTTTACATTGTCTAGAATTTTATATAAATGAAATAAAACAAGATGTAATTTTTTTGGTCTGGCTTCATTCATTCAGCATAATTACTTTGAGATTCATTAGTATTGTTGCTTATATTAATAGTTTATATCTTTTTATTACTGAATAGTATTCCATGATAACTATGTACCACAGTTAACCATTTATAAGGGCATTTAGGTTGTTTTCCAGTTTTGGGCTGCTATGAATAATGCTGCTATAAACATTGGTGTTCAAGTCTTTATGTGAATATATGTTTTCACTTGTATTGGGCACATACACATACCTAGGAGTGGAATGGCTGAATTGTATGGTGGATGTTAAGTTTAACTTAAGTTTACAAATTATTTTCCACCGTGGTTGCATCATGTTACATTCTTACCAGCAGTCAAGAGAGTTCTAGTTCCTCCACATTCTTACAAATACTTGGCATGGTCAATTATTTAAATTATAGCCATTTTACTGGGTATGGAGTCTTATCACAGTTTAATTTACATTTCTCTAACAACTACTAATGTTGAACAGCTTTTCACGTGCTTATTTGCTATCTTTCTGTCTTCTTGAGTGAAATGTCTGTGGACCTGTTTTTCTCAAGTTGTCATACCTTTGGCCATTTTTATTAGGTTTTATTGCAGTATATATAATATATGTTTATATTTTACATTTATTCACAATGAACATGTCTTCTATATGGAGGTCTGAAGACCCATATTTTTTCTGTACTTACTTTTGGGGTTTGACAAATGTGAAACAGCCATTGTGCAATTGGCCTCTTATTTCAAAAATTTTTATATCATTTTCTCGTTTTTGATTCCTTAAGTACTCTTTACCCTGCAGTACTCTTTATCTGCTATTTTGGGAGGTGAGATCAGAATTTGTAACAAAAGGAATGCCATTATAAATACCAGGGTAGTATTCAGCACCTGTCATCCAAGAGTAGGATGAAATAGAGGAAGACAGCATGCCTTGTGACCCTTGAAATTAGCTCAAGAATTTCCCCTAATTTCATCTTACTTTTTTGTGTAGCAACACCTTGCAATACTTAGTTCAGAAAATTATCCTGTAGTGTACTGGAGATATCCTTGACCACTATAAAGTTATTTGGGGTCAAGAAGAATGGGTATGTGATTTAGGAAAAGGTAACAAAGAAAAGCCACTCCTTTAGCAGCTCAGTGATAGGAAGATGGAAGGATAGTGGGAGAGAGAAGCCGCAAAGCAAAGAACTCGGATGGGGTTTCACATTTGTTTTACTGGGCCTTGGTGGGTTTAGATAAGTGAGGTTACTATGGAGAGCAAAGAAAAGAGCCTAACTCCATTCTACACATAGGAAAAAGAGATCTTTTAGTTCACCCCTCGCCACCAACTATGCTACCTTCCTTCTCATGGAGCATGGCCCAGGAACTTGGCCGTTCTACAGATGGTCAGGCACAGCAAGGCTCTCTCTGAGGTTTTGTTTTTTTGTCAGTCTTGGTTCTCATGTGCTGTAGTCATAGCCCAGAGAGGGCTGAAAGTCTTCCTGGGACACTTGCTGGGGGAGTCACTGTAGTGGAGATGAGAGGGCTCTCCCTTGAGTGTCATGGGCAGCTAGCTAGAACTTGGGGGAGGGTGGCAAAGCTAGAGGCTCCACTAAGCTCTAGGAGACCAGAGCATGAGTCATTATGTCAGTGGCAGACTTCAACTGTGAATGCCAACAGGCCAAGCATTATTTGAGTGGAAACAGGGGCATCTCTCTGGAGCGCAAAGGAGGCAGAGGACATGTCATCAAATAACCTGACTATTCTGCCTTCATGAGGTCATAGAAGCTGGTGTTTCCCAAACTTTAATGTGCATACTAAGCACTTAGTAGATCTTAGGTGGCATCTAAGAATCTACATTTCTAATAAGCTCCTATGTGATGCCCATGCAGCTAACACTTAGAGGAGTAAGAACATGAGCCACATATCTTGACTCAGACTCCTGGACACCATTCTTGGGAAAGAGGAAGAAAGATGAGGCGGCTCCGTGGAAATCTAAGCCATTTTGGGGGCCTCACAAAGGCAGAATGTAGAGGAGTATGATAGAAAAAAATCAAAGACTGATCTAGACAGCAAAAGGAAGGCAGACACTTGAATTTAGCAAATAGTGCTAGTCCTGTATGTACGTTAAAGAAATCTACTCAAGAAGCAGGTTGAAGTGTTTAAGTGACAATAAAGCTACTACTCAGCTGGGCTTTTCTAAAAGGAACAGGGAAACAAGACTGGCCAGTACCGAGGGCACACTCCAGTGCTGCAGAAAAATATGTGGCAGAAAAATTATTTCTGCTGCCAGTGAAGGGACCAGTTACTTTGCGATCTGAAAGGCCCAAAGCTCAAGAAAGGGCAGGGCTTTAAGAAAGAGCATTGGGCAGGGGTCTTGGTCCTCACTAGGATTCTAGGGCAAAGGCCCAGAAACATTAGTAGTACCTCCAATTAAACAATCTGCAAGAATGTTCTCCAGGTGGAACAAATGAAACGTGGGTAAAAACTTCCCCAGGAGACAGAACTGCTTTGCAAGAGGTGGCAGCAGGTATTTGAGGCACAGACTGAGAAAATGCCTCAGGATCTTGTTGGGAATAGAAAAGTGTAAAGATGAGATCAGAAGCAGGGGCTGTAGAAAAGTGAGGGCTCTGAACTGTGCTTGGAGAGTCATCAGCTGCAAACTGGTCTGCCCTATGTGTGGGAGGGTAGAGGTAGTGGCACCAGTTGAGTAATCAGGGAGTCTAATCCAGATGGCAGCCTCGTTGAGTCACAGAACTGAAGCATTACTCAAAATCCATCATTGGATAGAAGGAGCTAGAGGATTTATCTGTATGGTAAGGAGAAGAGGTCATTACCAAATCCAGTCTTCCCACAAATTACTAATTCCTAATCAAAATGTTTCAATTACGTTTTAGTCTTTGGTGTCCTTGGTATGTTTGGCGTCCTGAGTGTACTTCGCGGTCCACGGTGCTGACACTTATTTTCTTTTTCTTCGGAGTAGCTTCTTAAAGAAATATAACGAGACATTTACTTTTTAGTAGTGGAGATGACAAAATTATCCCAGATAGACTATATTTATTTACCCTTTCATGCCCAATAAGAGGAGAGCCAATTACCAATCTATATGTAGGGATATAGGGAGCAATTGGAAATGATAGCCACCAGTTCACAATGGAAAGTGATTATGTCTTCCAAGGGACACTTGGAAATGCCTGGAGACATTTTTGGTTGTCACAAATAGGGGTACGGGGTGTTTCTGGCATGGGTTGAGGCCACAGATGCTATTGCTCAACATCCTACCATGCACAGGATGGCCCCGACAAACAAAAGATTTTGTTACCCTAAATATCAATAATGCCAAGGTTGAGAGACCCAAGAATAGAGGCTGTGATGGGGAGGAAGGACAATTACTTTTATAATATCATCTTGTCTAATTAAAGTCATACATTAGTTCTAACTAAACATAATTATCTTCTAGGAGAAGGGAAAACTATATCCTGTTCCTGAGAACAGGCTTTTCCTCTGTGTGGGAGGCGGTCCAGAATAATGACTGTGCTGGAGAGCCTCCAGGCTAGCGACAATGACAATTCCTAGTTGCACCTCAAAGCTTGGCAGAAGCAACCATATACATAGACCTCATTTGGGAAAACCATGATTACAGCTCTTGTTTCTAACCATTTACATAGACAAAAGGATCCCAAACTGCATGTGTGCTAATTGGGTTTTCAGTAGAAATATAAGATGTGCATCCCTTGGTGTTTGCATGGTCCAAGATGAGAGTCTTGTTATAGTGGTATGAGTCAATTTCATATGTGAAATAAGTATCCTTGCTCTTCTGTTACGTCTGTAATATTATGAATTTAAATTCACTTGTGTTTTTTTTTTTTTTTTTCAAAAAGGATGAAGCTGGAAGAAGCTCTATAGCCAGTAAAGTGATCTAACATTGTACAGGCACAATGTTATAGTCTCATTGCTTCACTGAACTGACCGATGAGCTTGTCTGACTGATCGCTCCTTTATACATGTTTCATTCCCTTTTTCTTATATTGTCTATTCTTACTAGTGCCTCCTTTTAAAACTTTCTCTTGGATACAGTTTCTCTCTTGTTCAAATCATTATTCTTTTCTGCTCTCCTTATAAAACTTATTTTTTTCTTTCTCTATCCTTTTCCCTTCCCTCTCTCCCCTCCCTCCCTCCCTTCCTTCCCTCCTATCTCCCTCACTTCCTTCTTTTTCTCTTTGACTTTTGTTTTTTATGTTCTTTCACTGCTTTTTTTATTGGCTCCTCCTTTTGGAACTTACTTGGTGATCTTTCTCTCTTGCTTTCGTTATTTTTGCAGTGGCATTTCTTTCTTTTTTTAAAATTGACATTTATATTTTAATACGGGATAACAAGTCAAATTACAGCCAACTGTTAAACTTTTCTTTCGTTTTTAAAAATTCTAGGGTACAACAAAATCAGCTCAGGAGGCATTTTTTCTTGACAAACGATCCCTACTCTTTCCCATAGCAGGCTCCTAAGCAATCTTCTAAGTCTAATCAGTCACATTAAGATACCGAGTGGTGAGGCTTTCACATTTGCTGCTTATAATTCTTAAGTGGTCGCTATCTAATATTTTCACTTCTGGGTAAGAGAAAATGCATTTTGGTCCATTAATTCACCCACTCGCTCCTGGAGGACATTAACCAACTCTGCTATTACAAAGACATGAGTGTCATCAATGTCTTGAATTATGAACTTCTTCCCCAGGGCACTGGACTCATCCCAGGACAAGAGAAACAGCTTCATGGCGGGGTCACATTCTATAAGCACTCCTTTCAATATGTTGACCATCTTCTCCCAGTCAGGAGGTGCAGATGACCTCAAGATTGCTCCACCTACAGACCAGCTGCGCCTTGTGTCCCCGACAGAGTGCGCCTGCGCCAAGATGTCATCATGCCAGGGACACACTCCTGCAGTGGCATTTCTTATTAACTATCAACTTTTCCTTATTGAACATCTTACTTCCTTCCCTCTTTCTTGCCTTCCTTCTTTCCTTCTATCTTCCTCCTGAGTACTACTGTAGTTTTTTGGTCATCTTTTCTTACTTCTCGCTCTCTCTACCTTATTTAATTATTGGCTGCTCCTTTTAAAACTTTTATTTTCCTCTTTTGTGTAAAGTCTTCTTACAGGCTTCTCATTGTTTTTTTATTTTTTATGTTTTCTATGTTTCTTGCCCTCGGTAGAGTGCTGTGACATCACAGCTCACAGCAACCTCCAGCTCTTGGGCTTAGGTGATTCTCTTGCCTCTCAGCCTCCCAAGTAGCTGGGACTACAGGTGCTCGCCATAACACCCGGCTATTTTTGCTTGCAGTTTGGCTAGGGCCGGGTTTGAACCCACTGCCCTCGGTATATGGGGCCAGTGCCCTACTTACTGAGCCCCAGCTGCCGCCCCAGCTTCTCATTTTTAAAACATTTTTATTCTTTGTCTCTTTCTGTCTTACTTTCCTTTTTATCTTTATCTATTTTCTTTTTTGCGCACTTTATTCTTATTGGCTCTTTCCTGTTTGTGAAACTTTCATTCTCTCATTTTTTCCTTCTTTACTTTCTTTTAACTAGTTATTTTTATACATCTTCTCCTTATTTTTCTTCATTTACAACTCCTTCTGACCTTAATTCAGTCCTCCTTTCCTTTAATCCCTTTCTCTGTGTCTTTTTCTCACTCCCATTATTTCTATTTCTCCTCTGTACTTGTCAGCACCCATACCCACCCTCCTTCCTCCCTTCCTTCTGCCTTCTTTTCTTTCTTCTGCCTTTATTCCTTCCTCCCTTCCCATCCTCTCCTATAGTCCCTTTTTCTTTCACTCTCTATTTACTTGCCCCCTCTAAATACATTTTTCATTTCTTCTTTCATTTCCTATGTTTCTATTTTTAAATACTGACTTTTAAAATTACGTTCCTCTTCTTAAGATAAGTTTGTTCATATTCTCTCTCCTCCGTTTCTTTTCTCTTTCTTCTCTTCCTCCTCCTATTTTATAACTTCCTCCCTCTCCTCCTTTCTAACTGTAATCTCCTCAATGTTCTAATTAATTGTAATATTTTAACTAACTTCTTCCTTTTAGATGGCTTTCCTTGCTGTCCACAATTGTACTTAATTTTATTTCTTTTTTTTTTTTTGGCTGGGGCTGGGTTTGAACCCACCACCTCCAGCATATGGCCCCTCTCTTCTAAATTACGCTTTCTCTCTCATTCTATCATTTTATATATGTTCTTTTCCTTGCTTCTGCGCACATGCTCTCTCATATCCATCTACCTATTTGCCAAGTCATCTACCTATCTATTCAGGTATTAATCATCTATCTTTCTGTCTTTACGTTTCTGTTTTATTTTCCTGTCTCCAACATTAAAGTCTTCCCTCCCCCCCACAACTATTGTAGTTGGTTTTCTTTTTCTTTTCTCTCTTTCTTTTTCTTGGAGACAGGGTCTTACTCGGGTGCCCCAGGCTAGAGTGCCACAGCATCAGTCTAGCTCACAGAAATCTCAGACTCATGGGCTTAATGAGTCCTCCTGCCTCAGCCTCCCAAGTAGCTGGGACTACAAGCACCTGACACAACACCCAGCTAATTTTTGTAATTTTAGTAGAGATGGGATCTCCCTCTTGCTCGGGTTGGTCTCGAATGCTTGAGCTCAAGAGATCCTACCACCTCAGCCACCCAGAGTGCTAGGATTAGCGAGCCACTCCCTCACTTGGTTTTCATAGGGGCTCTTCCCTCTCCCTCTCATATTCTTTCTTCCCTTAACTGTTCCTTGTTGACTTCCACTATAACCTTTGTTCTTCCTTCCTAAGTTTATTTCCTTCCTTTTTACTCCCTTTGACTCTTTCTCTCACTGGATTTTATTTTTTCTATCTTTTTTGCACTATGTTTTCTTCATGGGCTCCGTCTTTAAAAATGTATTCCATTCTTTTTCTCTCTTGCTTTCCTTATTTACTGCAGTGTCATTTCTTATTGGTCTTGTCTGTTAAACATCGTTCTCTCTTCCCATATTTCCTCTCTCTCTCTGTCTCTCACCTCTCCCCTCTTTAAAGCTATCATTTTTGTAGTCTTTTCTTATTCTCTCTTTTTGTATATCTCTCTTCATTTTATTATTGGCAACTCCTTTTAAACTTTTCTTTTCCTCCTTCCTTTTTGTGTAAAGTCTTCTTACAAATTGCTCATTTTAAAACATTTCTCTTTTGTTCTCTGCCTCTCTTTTCCCCATATAACTTTCTCTTCTTTTTGTCTTTTTATATACTTTATTCTTACTGGCTCCTTCCTACTTGTGTACTGTTCTACCTGTTCTCTTTCTAGTCATTTTCTCCTTCCATCCTTCTTCCTTCCTTCCTTTTTTCCTTCTTTCTCTCATTCTCATATTTTCACCTTTATTTTTTAAAAAATTAACTGATCTTTGAAAATATGTTGTTTTTTCTTCATTTCTTACTCTGTCCTTTCCTCATTCTTCCCTTCTTTCCTTTCCTTCTTTTATCTATGTCTCTTCCTTTCTTGTTTCCTTTCCTTTCCCTCTCCTTCCCTTCTCTGCCTCTCCTCTTCTCTCCTCTCCCCTCCCCGCCTTCCTTTCTCTTTCTCTGTGTTCATCTGCATGTTGCCTGCTTTTCCTCCTTCCTTCCTTCTACCTTTCTCCTTTCCTTCTACCTTTATTCCTTCCTCCCTTATCCTATCCTGTACAGTAGTCCCTCTTTCTTTCATTCTCTATTTACTGACCCCTTTAAAAAAGTGTTTTGAATTTCCTCTTGCCCTTAATTCTCAATATTGTATGCATTGACCTTTTTCCTGGGTTCTCCTTTTGAAAATCTCTCTCTCTCTCCCTCCCTGCTACCCTTCTTTTCTTAGATCTTCCTTTCTATTTCTACCTCCTCTCCTTTCCTAGCTGTCATCACCCATCTCTATTATTTTACTGCAATATTTTAATTGAAGTCTTCCTTATGGATCTCTCTTTCCCTGCTGTTCACAATGGTAATTTTCTTATGTCCTCCATTCTAAGCCTTTCTCTTCCTTTCACTCTCACATTCTCTTCTCTTAAAATTGGTCTTTCTTTTTGTTTTGCTTCCTTGAGACAGAGCCTCAAGCTGTCCCCCTGGGTAGAGTGCCATGGCATTACAGCTCACAGCAACCTCCAACTCCTGGGCTCAAGCGAGTCTCCTGCCTCCGCCTCCCAAGTAGCTGGGACCACAGGCGCCCGCCACAACGCCCGTCTATTTTTTGGTTGCAGCCGTCATTGTTGTTTTGGAGGGCCCGGGTTGGATTTGAACCCGCCACCTTAGGTGTATGTGGCTGGTGCCTTAACCACTTGAGCCACAGGCACCAATCCTAAAATTGTTCTTTCTTACAGAGCCATCACTTTAAGCTTCTTTCTCTCTACACTTTCCTTCCTGTCTTTTTCCCTCCCTTCTTTCCTTTCTTCCTTCTCTTATTGCCTTTTAAATGTCTTCTCTCCATTTCCTTCAGTCTCTGTCTCTTCCTGTCTGTCTTTCTCTATTCTTACCTGGCCTGCTTGTTTCCCTTTCTTCCTTCCTGTCTCATGCCCTTCATCATTCCCTACCTAACCTACTCCCTTCCTTCCTTGTATTTCCCTTTCTTCCTGCCTCTTTCCTCCCTCTATTCTTTCTTCCTGTTTCCTGCTTTTATTTTTTTTTCATTTCATCTTTCTATTTTGTTCTAAGACACTCTCTCTTTTTCAGACACACAGAGTCTCAAACTGTGACCCTGGGTAGAGTGATGTGGCATCACAGCCCACAGCAACCTCTGACTTTTAGTCTTTTTTTTTTTCTTGAGACAGAGGCTCAAGCTGTCCCCTGGGTAGAGTGCCATGGCATCAAAGCTCACATCAACCTCTAACTCCTGGGCTCAAGCGAGTCTCCTGCCTCCGCCTCCCAAGTAGCTGGGACCACAGGTGCCTGCCATAATGCCTGACTATTGTTTTGTTGCAGTTGTCATTGCTGTTTAGCAGGCCCAGGCTGGGTTCAAAGCTGCCAGCCTCTATATATGTGGCCGGCGCCCTCCCCACTGAGCCCCGGGTGCCGTCCCTCACTCTCTCTTTATATCTGTTTCATATGGTCATTTATAGTGACTTATTATGCCTTTCAAAGTCCCATCTGTCTGCCTGCTTATTTGTTAGCTATTTTTTTTATCTACCTGCCTAATTCCTTACCTGGTTCTTTATCCATCTTTATCTTACTGTCTTTTCAAAAGTGACTTTTACTTTTTAAATCCTCTCCTCATCACCACAATTGTATTTGATTTTCTTATTGGCTCCTCCCTCTCACTCTCAAATTCCCTTTCTCTTCCTTCGTTCTTTTCCTTATGGACTCACTATTTACACCTTTTTTCCTTCTTTCTTTTCTTTCCATCCTCCTTTCTTCCTTTCTTCTTTCCTCTTTCCCTATCCCTCTTCCATTCTCATTTCATACTTTGACTAGTGACTCTTCAAACCATTGATTTCCTTCACTTTTTATGCTACTCTCTATTTTAATTGATTTCATCTGGCTGCTTTTTAACTGTCTTCTACCTTTAAGATCTATGTCTTCATCTATCTAACCTGTCTTCCTGCCTTATGCCTTGCTTCCTTCCTCCCTGGCTGTGATCCATTCATCTATCTTTATTGTACTCTACTTTCAACTAGCTGCTTCTTTTGTCTCTTGCCACCTTCTCTTCTTCCCTTTTTTCTCCTTCCTTCATGTCTGCCTCTATAACCTTTCTGTCTTTTCTCAGTCTATTTCTTTAACTGTCTCTATTCCTGGCTTTCTTTCTCTGTTTGTTCTCTGGCCCCATGCCTATGTGCCTGCCTGCCTGCTTTCCTCCATTCTTCTCTCCCTTCTTTCCTCCCTTTCT